TTCCCCATGTTTTCCTATCTGAGTTAAATTTAAAAATTTTTCTCGTTGAACTTCTATTGTTTTCTGCAGCCCATGAAGGAAATTTTGGTTTTATGTTTCCCCCTGGAGCTTTGCAGTGTCTTTCCCAAAGGAAGGCATGTCATGCAGATTGGGGGTCATTGAAAAGGAAAAACACGGGGGCTGTGGCTGACCCCTCTTGTCTATTGGCTGACATCCTTGGCTGACATCTTGGAGATACTACGCATAACCAGGTTCTTTCTCTATAGTATCATGTATTATTATTATTATTATTATTATTATTGTTATTATTATCCACAGCTTTGTTTGGAAACATTCGGCAGCTTTTATAATCCAGGGCTAAGCACAGTACATTCAAATGCCATCTAGATTTGTCCTGGTATAGCACACACCCAGTACCAACAATACCACCAGTCCGATAACATTCTTCTTTGTAAATATACAGGGTCTAAAGCCAGCAACAAACAACAAAATAACCTTCATCCGTGGACTGCTTGCAGAGGCAAAGGCAATGTTCGCGGCTTTCACTGAGACCCACATAAAGGATCACTTGGACAACGAAATATGGATCCCAGGTTACAACCTATACAGATGTGACAGAGTGAACAGGCAAAGGGGGGGGGGGTTGGCCTGTACATTGCAGAGTCACTTGTTTGCACAGAACTGCTTAATGCCTCAAATGATGTTAGTTAGTTAGTTTAATATGTTTATTATGCACCCCATACCCATCCTGTGGGCGGTAGTCAAAAGATTACAGAGGTACATAATTGGTCCAGGGACTGGACTCCAAAGTTTGATAGCTGAGCAATTTACAAAGGTAATGAACTAGATCTGGTCATAATCATGACCAAGTTACAAAGGTAATGAGCTCCAGGTAGAGCTGGTCACACTCATGAATAATTGCAAAGGTAATGAATCATAAACACATTAATCATGAGAATTTACAAAGGTAATGAGCTCCAGGTAGAGCTGGTCAAAATCATGACAAGTTTCAAAGGTAATGAATGATAAAACACGTTTACACATGATTACAGTCATAGACAAATTACAGAGTAATGAGCAGTTAACAAACATAGCAGGGAATTCATCCATTGCCCCAACAACAGATGTTGCTAGGTGCCTGTCTCCCCTCGGCAGACAGCCATTGCAAACAGCAGCAAGTTGCCCCGGGATCTGCTGCTTGCACGAGCACCATCGACCTCCCAAGAGGTCCAAAAAGCCAGTGGCTCTGTTAGCAGCCCGATGGAGGCTGTCCTAGGGACTGGCAACGTCCTGGTGGACGCCAAGTTGACTGAAGACCCCAAGGCCCTCGTGTGCACGGATGTTGAAGCTTGAGGAACTGAGTAACACACTGCCTGTGGCCACCCTGACAGCTGCCTCGCAGTCGAAACTCCACGATGCTGTCCCTGTAGTAAAGTTCCTGTGAGCCCGGCACTCCCTGCAGTTGCCATCGCTGACATCGTGGGTTAGGGGAGAAGTACCCTCTATAGATGGGGTGGCGCTGGGAGTTGGGTGGGTGAGGCGGGGGGGGAGGGCAGGGGCGAGGCGTTATGAGAGGGTCACTGTTTACTACACACGCCCTCCCCCTCCCCCCCAGCGGAGAGGGGGGGAGGCGCTGACTGGTCCTGACTCAACAACACCAAACCTGCACAACACTTCAACTATTTACGCTGAAACGATGCACTGGGAAGTCCGTTCGCTGCTCTGGTATCTTCTCAAAGCATTCACACTGAGTTCTGTTAAGTAGGGACCTGGTCAGCCTCTTTGACCAGGAGCTATCCTTGAAAATCCCGCAGCTAGCCCGCTACACAACCCGCTGCGTCGGCCATGTTGGCTGTGTGTTGTCAAATGATGTAGTGGAAGTTTTAGCAGTAAAGGTCGAGAACCAAAACCTAGTCATTGTGGTAGTCTACAAGCCTCCGGATGCAACATCCCAGCAATTCCAGGAACAGCTGTTAAAAATTGACCACTGTCTGGAAAATCTTCCAGCTCCTGCACCCAACATCTTGCTCCTGGGGGATTTCAACTTAAGGCACCTAAAATGGAGGAATATAGCAAATAATATTGTTGCAGTAATAACACCAGGAGGCAGCTCTGATGAAAATGCACACTCATACGAGCTTTTAAATCTCTGCACAAAATTCAATTTAAACCAGCAAATAATAGAGCCTACTAGACTGGAGAATACACTAGACCTCATCTTCACTAACAATGATGATATGATAAGAAATGTCACCATATCAAAAACAAAAATACTCAGATCACAACATAATTGAGGTTCAGACATGTATGGTGGAGCCCCAGACCGACATAATGAAACTAGTCACGAGGGAGCATTCGCCAAATTCAACTTCAATAAAAAAAAAACATAAAGTGGGACCAAGTAAACCAAGTCCTAACCGATATAAGCTGGGAAGATATACTAAGCAACACAGACCCCAACTTATGCCTAGAACAGATTAACTCGGTGGCACTCGATGTATGCACAAGGCTTATTCCTCTAAGAAAAAGGAGGGAGTAGATGTAAAATAGAAAGAGACAGGCGCTCCCTTTTCAGGCGACGGAAAAAGAATAACAGAGCGGCTAAAAGAGGTCAATATATCTGAAATGCGTAGGGAGACACTGGTCAGAGAATAGCAAGCATCGAACTTAAGCTAAAAGAATCCTTTAGGAGTCAGGAATCGCGGGAAGAACAAAAAGCCATAAATGAAATCGAAAGAAACCCAAAGTTTTTCTTTTTCCTATCCCAAAATCAAAATCGAGAACAACGTCCAGTATTGGGCCCCTATTTAAAAAAGATGGGTCCTACACAGATGACAGCAAGGAAATGAGTGAGTACTCAAGTCCCAATATGACTCGTTTTTAGCAAGCCGCTAACCAGACGGGAGAGTCGAAGATCAAAATGAATTTTTTATGAGAGAGCCACAAAATTGATTCCCAAAAAGCCTACCCGATGTTATCCTGACGCCAAATGAAAATGACTTCAAAACAGGCGATAAATGACATGACCCATTCATCTGCCCAGGGCCAGACTCATGGAACTCTGTGTTCATCAAGAACTGCAAGAAGCCCTATCACGACCCTTTTCCATCCTATGGGGGAGGGAGCATGGACACGGGGGTCGTCCCACAGTTACAAAAAAACAAAAGACATAGCCCCACTCCACAAAGGGGGAAATTTAAAGCAACAGCAAAGAACTACAGACAATAGCACTAACTCCCATATCATAAAAAATCTTTGAAAAGGGTCCTAAGAAGCAAGATCACCACCCATCTAGAAACCCATCAGTTACACAACCCAGGGCAACATGGGTTTAGAACAGGTCGCTCATGTCTGTCTCAACTATTGGATCACTACGACAAGGTCCTAAATGCACTAGAAGACAAAAAGAATGCAGATGAAAATATATACGACTTTGCAAAAGCCTTCGAAAAGGGTTGGGACCATGGCGTAATAGGCACAAAATGCGCGCTAAAGAAATAACAGGAAAAGTCGGTCGATGGATCTATTTTTTTCCTCACTAACAGAACACAGAGAGTAGTCGTCAACAGAGTAAAGTCCCGAGGCAGCTACGGTGAAAAGCTCTGTTCCACAAAGCACAGTACTCGCTCCTTCTTGTTCCTCTCCTCATATCCGACATAGACAAAGATGTCAGCCACAGCACCGTGTCTTCCTTTGTAGATGACACCCGAATCTCATGACAGTGTCTTCCATTGCAGACACTGCAAGGCTCCAGGCGGGGCATCAACCAAATCTTTCAGTGGGCTGCAGAAAACAATATGAAGTTCAACGATGAGAAATTTCAATTACTCAGATATGGTAAACATGAGGAAATTAAATCTTCATCAGATGTACAAAACAAATTCTGGCCACAAATAGAGCGAAACACCAACGTCAAAGACCTGGGAGTGATTATGTCGGAGGATCTCACCTTCAAGGACCATAACATTGTATCATCGCATTTGCTAGAAAAATGACAGGATGGATAATGAGAACCTTCAAAACTAGGGAGGCCAAGCCCATGATGACACTCTTTTAGGTCACTTGTTCTATCTAGGCTGGAATATTGCTGCACACTAACAGCACCTTTCAAGGCAGGTGAAAATTTCCGACCTAGAAAATGTACAGAGAACTTTCCGGGGGCGCATAACGGAGATAAAACACCTCAATTACTGGGGGCGCTTGAGGTTCCTAAACCTGTATTCCTGGAATGCAGGAGGGAGAGATAAAATGATTATATACACCTGGAAAATCTAGAGGGACTAGTACCGAACTTGCACACGAAAAAACACTCACTACCAAAGCAAAAGACTTGGCAGACGATGCACCATCCCCCAATGAAAAGCAGGGGTGTCACTAGCCCGTTAAGAGACCATACAATAAGTGTCAGGGGCCCGAGACTGTTCAACTGCCTCCCAGCACACACAAGGGGGATTGCCAACAGACCCCTGGCAGTCTTCAAGCTGGCACTGGACAAGCACCTAAAGTCAGTTCCTGATCAGCCGGGCTGTGGCTCGTACGTTGGTTTGCGTGCAGCCAGCAGCAACAGCCTGGTTGATCAGGCTCTGATCCACCAGGAGGCCTGGTCACAGACCGGGCCGCGGGGGCGTTGACCCACGGAACTCTCTCCGGGTAAACTCCAGGTAAACACCGCGACATAGACCAATATAAAGTGCATTTCTTATCTATCACTACCTGACAAGCAGGGCTATACGAAATTGAGGCAGCTACCCGCTTTTTTTCTACACACCCGGACACCAGGACACCCAGACACCAGGACACCCAGACACCCGGACACCCGGACACCCGGACACCAGGACACCCGGACACCAGGACACCCGGACACCAGGACACCCGGACACCCGGACACCAGGACACCAGGACACCAGGACACCAGGACACCCGGACACCCGGACACCAGGACACCAGGACACCAGGACACCCGGACACCAGGACACCAGGACACCAGGACACCAGGACACCCGGACACTCGGACACCAGGACACCCGGACACCCGGACACAGGGTTGTTACGGTGTAAGGTGTGAGTGGCCCTGTAAACCACCAACAATGAGAGTGATGGTTGGTTGTTGAAGAACAAACTGCATGTGTCCTGAGGAAGAACGTTAACATTTAAGAAGTACTTCACCATGCTTGGAGAAAAGGCTTTAGAACTTATTAAAGAACTTGACAGATCTAAAGATGGTCAATTACCAACTTTTAATGTAAGTCATAGTGCAACCTTGTTTCAATTTTATTACTGTATATTGCGCTTTATTGCTCAACTATTTAATTATTACTTCAAACATAAAATTCTTTCAACTTCATTGTTTTAAATTGTACTAAACTGTAATACTGTATTTTTTATAAACTATATTAAAACCAGTTATTCTCTATTGAACTTACTAAACCCATATGGCGTGAACTAGTTGAATATTCAGTTTTCCTGTATTCATTGTAACTCGCCTAATGACCATATGTGAAATTATTGCACTGTTATTGCCTTATTAGTCTTAAGTTAGTCTTAAATATGCCCAAAATGCTCTGCATATAAAGGGGTTTTTGCCATGTTCACTAAATTATTACACTCCTGTGTACAAACATGTCTCATGCTAAACTAAACTTTTTATTGTTATTATTGTTAAACTAATGAAATCTGAATAAGTGTACATTGGCTCCATTTTGAGTGTTTTTTTTTTTTTTAGTTAGCATTTACTTTCTAGCTGGAGGGACTTTTCTTTATGCTTTAAAAACTTAGGTGTTTGAGGTAAATTTTCAATGTGAATGTATAGTATGTTAGGTTAAGCAGTGTTATTGCCTCCACTGCTAAATTATAATAATATAATATAATATATCTTCATTTCTACAAGTACATGTACATGGTATGCAGGCCTGGCTGACATCAGTGACATACTACTTTATAGAAAGCCACTTGTTATGCAGAGCATTTCGGGGCAGATTAGGTCAGTTTTGGCCCAAGATGCGACCCACACCAGTCAACTAACACCCAGGTACCCATTGTACTGATGGGTGAACATGGACAACTGGTGTAATGAAACACCCCCACTGCTTCTACCCTTGCTGGGAATGGAACCCGGACCCATGCCGTGTGAAGTGAGAGCTTTACCCACCAGGCCATGGGGCTACCAAGCTTGGCCAAACTTAAGCGGGAGGATAATTACCTATACATAGCTACAAAAAAAAAAAGCTGTGTGTGTAGTGTCTCATCTACATTAATGTGTTTATCATATATTTACAGCTCCAGTAATAGTAATACTTACGTCCTCTTCTGTTTCATTCATCTCCAGTATCTCTTTGGCTCAATTTTTTTCTTAATTTATATCTGTTCAACTGCCTCCCAGCATACATAAAGGGGATTACCAATAGACCCCTGGCTGTCTTCCAGAGGGAGCTGGGCAGGCGCCTAAAGTCAATACCTGACTAGCAGGGCTGTGGTTCATACGTTGGTTTACATGCAGCCAGCAGCAACAGCCTGGTTGATCAGGTCCTGATCTACCGTGAGGCATAGTCACGGACCTGACCATGGGGGCATTGACCCCCAAAACACCCTCAAGGTATACTTCAGGTATCCCCATTGAAGGCATTACAAAATCTCTTTATGCTTTCGTATTCTTTTATTACCATATATGTTATGTCTTCCCTTTTTCTCCTCTTTGCAGGGGTTGAGTCTCAGCTCTTGGCCCTGCCTCATTGCAGGGCTCACTCTTCCTGACTAAGCATGAATTCGGCTTCTACCACTTTGCTGTCTAGGTCATTTCTCCTGAATTTTTAAAGGTTAAAGAAGAATCTCCTAAGATTGTAGATATCTTTAGTGTTTTCAGCCTTTTGATTTTTGGACTTTTTCCGAGTTCTATTTTTTTTTTAGGTGTGGGCACCACATAACTGCTGCATATTCAAATTTTTTTTTAATATATGTTTTAACCCTTTGACTGTTTCAGGCCCCTTTCTGAAACTGTCATTCTATGTCACTAAAGTTTTGAAAAAAAAAAATTATTTTTTCTTATGTATGAAATGATAGAGAATCTTTTTCCGATGGTAATGCCACCAAAAGTTCGAAATTTGGTCGAAAACTCATGGAATTACGCTCCCGCAAAGTTAGCGGTCTCGGCGACATATGCGTATTGGCGATTTCGCCAACTTTGAGCCCCTATTTTTCAGCCAATTCCTTTGTGCCAGTTGACCATACTCGTAGCTATTTCTTTAGAACTCCATTTTATCTATCAGCTGAGTACAAGAAACCTCCCATTTACCAATTTGGACTACCCAGTATTGTGGTCAGAAATTGGCAATTTGGCCAATTTCATACAAACTAAAAAAGATGCCAATTTCAAAATGGGTTCCAGAATAAACAAGGTAGACATTCTTGGCACTAAAATAACATATCCTCTGTTCATTAGTCAAAATCTCTAGGCCCCTCTTTATATTATTATTGCTTTCTATTTTGATTTTTTATTCATACAAAAAAATACAAAATTTATTGTTATGCAGACTAATGTATTTTTGTAAAAATGGTTTATAAAATAATATCAGTGCACTAGTGAAAGAATATTAGACTCCCAGTTGACGTGTATTGGACGTGTGGTGTGATTTGTTTACTCCTGAACATTGTAAAAATCGAACATTTCCGCTACTTTGAGCTCAGTTTCAAGGACGTTTCATCTTCAAAGTAATGAAAAATCATCTCTATTTCTGTAATATGTTTTCCATTTTATCACCTAAGACATGAAAACGCAAATACATCGATAAATACTATACGAAAATACACCCCCAAAATCAGCATTTTAATCCAAAAAAAACGATCTGAGTTTTTTTTTTTTTCTCATTTGCACTGTGTGCTGCAGGATTTTTTTTATGTGGTGCACACTGACCACACAGACCCATTCTCTCACATGTGGGCCTACCAGCTTTCTTCCGCTTGATTTAAAACCGCTAGAATTATTGGGGTATACGTATATACGTCTGAAACACCGGCCTAAGACGTATATATACGACCAAAACAGTCAAAGGGTTAAACAGCTTTTTCAGCATCTCTTCATCCATATGCATTTGAAACCTATTTCATAGTGTAGTATTTGCATTTTTCTTAATTTCATTTATACTACTTTCCAGCAGAAATTTTTGTATTAAGAATAGCGTAGTCTTGCACCACCCCATTTTAATGTACAATATTATCACAATCCTAGGTAGGTACGTTGGTAGACAGCAACTGCCAGGGAGGTACTACCGGTCCTGCCAGATGAGTGTAAAACGAAAGCCTGTAATTGTTTTACATGATGGTAGGATTGCTGGTGTCCATTTTTTTGTCTCATAAACATGCAAGGTTTCAGGTATGTCTTGCTACTTCTACTTACACTTAAGTCACACTACACATACATGTACAAGCATATATATAGACACCCCTCTGGGTTTTCTTCTATTTTCTTTCTAGTTCTTGTTCTTGTTTATTTCCTCTTATCTCCATGGGGAAGTGGAACAGAATTCTTCCTCCGTAAGCCATGCGTGATGTAAGAGGCGACTAAAATGCTGGGAGCAAGGGGCTAGTAACCTCTTCTCCTGTATATACTATTACTAAATTTAGAAGGAGAAACTTTTGTTTTTCCTTTTGGGCCACCCTGCCTTGGTGGGATACAGCCGGTGTGTTGAAAGAATATCACATAATGTCATAATTATTATTATACTACAAGAAAAATGACATATTCACATGTAAACAATATTGACCTTTTTATTACTTTTAGGAGGACTCGATTAGAATGGTACTGGAGGAGATGACAACATTGTTTGAGCAAAATCAGCGTGATGTGTAAGTTTTTTATATATGTATAGCGTATGGTTATACTGCATTCAGTTATTGATATTTGTTCCTCTGAATCAGTAAGGTACATACACTATAAAATTACATTATTTTGTAAATAACTCTTGATTCTATTTTACATTTATATTTAAAAACTCCCTGCTGAACTTTGTATATATTGTATATTACTGTACTTCCTCTCCATCTACAACAGGCAGGCTCACAAACTGGAAACTTAAGTTTCCATGCTTAAATCTTGGCTATTATGAGCTTCTTTCATTGGCTTGAGTTTCTCCTAAGAGGAAGTGTTGTTCGAGTACGAACACATTAGGCTCCACACAATGTTGGTTGGATGACGTTAGTGCTTCTCTTAACATGAGATGAACATTCTTCTCATGCTTAATGCTTATTTCAGGATCCTCCTCCTATGTCTATTTCCAGGCAGGGCAGAGAATTCATTTGCAGGCTTAAATGTACCTTGCATGAGCCTTTCCACACATGGATTCCTTAGAAGTTTTTATTTGTCATATTGGTGTTTATCACCTCCAGCCTCTCCTCCACTATTTTCCAAAATCAGAATGCTTTCTTTATGCAGACAATGGTATTCTTTTTGACTTTTGCTTTGGGAGCCTAAGTGGGTGCCCTACATGCTTTGCAATGGTCATCTGATCTGTTGTTATTTTATCTGAGGAAGCTCATTTATTCTCACCCCAAGGTTAGATTTCTTTCTTTAGAACAAGGGAGTACAAACCTCTCACTGGATAAGTGACAGTTACGGGTTTGCCAGAAAATTCTTTACTATTACTGTAAGCTCTCTACAGATGAGTCTGTTTATTCCTCTGGCTTCAGGGCTCACTGCCACCTCCAGATTCTTTTTTCTAGTTCTATGAAGCAATTCTTTATACTGCATTTTGCAATACAGGAATACATTCTTCTCTTCAGTACAGCACTGTTTATGAGATGATAGAATCAGATGTGCAAACGTATCTTTTGGTTATATAACAGGGAATGTTTTTATTGATAATGCATGCATAGTTGAAAAAATGTACTTTACATTATATCATATACAGTGGTCCCTCGCTTTTCGTAGTTCTCGGCAATCGTAAATTTCGCCAATCATAGGGGTATTTTCGTATAAACATGGACTCGCTTTTCATAGGTTGACTCGCGAATAGTAGTTCGTCCGGGTGGCCTCCCTACCCAGCCAGTCTGGCATTGTTTATCAGTGAGTGAAGGTCCCCTCAAGTGCTCCTACGAAATATTTCATAATATTCCACTCATTTTAGTGCTTGCAAATATTAAATAAGCTGCCATGGCTCCAAAGAAAGCCCCTAGTGCCAAGCCTGTGGTAAAGAAGGTGAGAAATATGTACAGTGACAAAGTCTTGGGCCATTTTAGGGAAGTGTTAAAGAGACGCCAGAAACAGAGCTCTCTCCACAGTTACTTTGCGAGACAGGACTAGAGTGACTCTCAAGGTGGTCCTAGTGGCATTAAGAAACAGAGAAGAGAAGCAATTGGTACCTGAGGTGTTGCTGGAAGGGAATTCCCCTTCCAAACGGTAAACAATCCAATCTCTCTCCTCCTCCAGTCTCCCATACACTAAGAAGAATCTCCAGTAAAGGTAAGTGTTATGCTGTTAATGTTTCATTCATCATTTCCCATTGTATTGTTTATGTACTACATGTATATTTCATGTAAAAAATTTTTTTGTTTTAATACTTCTGGGTGTCAGGAACGGATTAATTGTATTTACATTATTTCTTATGGGTAAAATTGATTCGCAAATCGTAAATTTCATTTATAGTAACGGCTCCAGGAACGGATTAATTACGAAAAACGAGGGACCACTGGTGGCCTGGTGGTTAACGCTCTCGCTTCACACGGTGAGGGCCTGGGTTCGATTCCCAGCCAGAGTAGAAACATTGGACGTGTTTCTCTCCACCTGTTGTCTATGTTCCCCATCAGTAAAATGGGTACCTGGGTGTTAATCGACTGGTGTGTGGTCGCATCCTGGGACACTGACTAAGGAGGCCTGGTCACAGACAGGGCCGCGGGGGCGTTGACCCCCGGAGCTCTCTCTAGATAAACTCCAGATAGTGAACAGTTCTTTTAAATCTCAAATGATTTTTTATTTTGTTAGTTGTGCTACATGTTCAATAAGCTGCAAGTAATTTTATATACCTTGCAGCTTATATGTAATTTTATTTCTTGTATATTTTCTTAAGGAATGCAACAGTAGCAGGTGATGTACGATTTTTTTCTGGAGTTCATTTACGACATGCTGCTTTGGAGAGAAATAAAAGATGTTTGCTGGCTTACTTGTAAGTAGAGGTCATTTTGTCGTTTAAAAAAAGTTATATCATCTAGATAAAGGTAGATTGCATTTTCAAGTTAATTTAATCTTTGTGGAATATAAATCAGATAGTCTTTTGAAGATTTATTTAATTACTGGTACCAAAAATTAAAATTTGCAAAATTATCTTGATTTGCTTGGTCACTGTAGTGCTGCAGGATCTCCTGTTATTTGTCCTTCTAAATTTTTATTCCCATATATAAAACAATAGATAAAGTTTGAAAACAAATTTTGTAGAAGCTTCAAGACCAGTGGGAGAGAGAAAAACTTAAATGAACCTGAAATAATTATTAGTTTATAGCTTCAAGGCAAAAGAAAATTGAGAATAACATGATTATTTATTTGTGTATATTAAAGCTCAATGTGTTGTTCTTCCCTTGACCTTCATCTCTAAATGAATATAATTCTGTAAAAATAATGAATTTGAATACTGTATGTTGTTATGCTACCTTTATTGATATTTATCAGGTTTTACTGCACATGGGATGTTAATTTTAAAGTTTAAAAAACTAAAATAAATTACTATACACAAACTTTTAGCAATAAATGTTTACCATTCATTACAGATACAACAGGTTGGAAAGAATTAAAGCTATGCGCTGGGAATTTGGCAGTATTCTACCAGCAGAAATTCGAGCCAATATATGTGAACCTGAGGTCAGTTAATTTTATTTGTAAGATTTCATGCATTTATTTGAATGTAATACTTTTTTATCGTGTATTCTGCTCATTGATTTCTTTGTTTAAGTATTGGTGTGTTCTTGATGAGTGCTGTCCATACTTTCATCTGACTAGCTTCCATTCATTGATTTTTCTTTACCATATAGATTAGTACATTTTTTCTTCTTTCAGCAAACTAGCCATATCCCATTGAGGCAGGGTGGCCCAAAAAGAAAAACAAAAGTTTCTCCTTTTAACTTTAGTAATGTATACAGGAGAAGGGGTAACTAGCCCCTTGCTCCTGGCATTTTAGTCGCCTTTTACGACACGCATGGATTACAGAGAAAGAAATCTTTTCAACTTCCCCATGGAGATAAGTACGATGTACGGTGCCCCTTGGCTTGGTGGCAAAAGTTCTCGCTTCACACGGTGAGGGTCCAGGTTTGATTCTCGGCAAAGGGGTGGAAATGTTGGATGCATTTCCTTACACCGGCTGTCTATGTTCACCCATCAGTAAAATGGGTACCTGGGTGTTAGTCAACTGGTGTGGGTTGCATCCTGGGACAAAACTGACCAAATTTGCTTGAAGTGCTCTGCATAACAAGCGGCTTTCTGTATAGCAGTATGTCATTGATGTCAGCTAGGCCTGTATACCTTGTACATGTACTTGTTGTAAATAAAGTTATTATTATTAGTATTATTGATTTGTATTCCCTGGAATGCAGGCGAGAGATACATGATTATATAAACTAGGAAAATCCTAGAGGAACAAGTCCCAAATTTACACATGAAAATCACTCCCTATGAAAGCAAAAGACTTCGCAGGAGATGCAACATCCCCCAATGAAAAGCAGGGGTGCCATGAGTATGCTAAGAGAGACAGTGAGTGTCAGGGGCCTAAGACTGTTCATCTTCCTCCCAGCATACATAAGGGGGATTACAAATAGACCCCTGGCTATCTTCAGGAAGGCACTGGACAGGCACCTAAAGTCAATACCTGATCAGCCGAGCTGTAGTTTGTATGTTGGTTTGCGCAGCCAGCAGAAATAGCCTGGTTGATCAGGTCCTGATCCATTGAGAGGCCTGGTCACAGACCGGGCCACGGGGGCATTGATTCCCAAAACCCTCTCTAGGTATACTCCAGGTAATCATAACAATGGACAATTCTGAATTTTGCTGACTTTGTCTGTTATATCTGAAATCAGTTTACTCATACCATAACAATAGGCATTTGCTGGATTTAGCAAAACAATTTTACCTATTAATCCAAAAATTGATTAAATCAGTGTCCGTTAAAACAAGATTTTACTATACTTACTGCATCACTCGCTGCCTTCCTACACAATTTCTCAAAATATTTTCTCTATCTCACTATTGTCAGCATACTGCTGACAATAGTGAGGAAAATCATATTTGTAGAATAAGATTTTACTTGGACTTTGTTTCACTCTCTGTAGAGTGTTGTTAAATCATAACAGAGTAAAGCATTGTTCCAGTGATGGTTTGCTTTCTAATGTGTGTCTTCTTCACTGTTGAATAATATAATTAGTTTAATTTTTCAAATTAAAGAAATTTCATAAAATTTTATATTGCAGGTTCAGTGGTTCAGTAGGTATAACAAGAATCTTGCAGCATACATGAGGTCACTGGGAGAAGGAACTGGACTAGACCTTACACAGGACACTAAACCACCTAAGAATTTGTACGTTGAGGTTAGTCAGTATATAGCTTCTTTCAACACTGACCAGAGTCTAGCACTGGTAAGTCACTGACTGGTCACTGCTGCTGTGGCTCACCATATAGTCATGGCCTACCCAGCATAAGGGTCCTTAGACACCTGTCTTGCCACATCCTCACCATAGGGTAACACCATTTATCAGGTTGTCTTATAACAAAGACCTGTGTCTGTTGACTATATCAGGCAAAGTGTATGGAAGAATTGTTATAGAAGGAATGACAGGAAAGACAAAATATGATTGCAGAGGAACAGGGTGGATTTTAAAATGAACAGCTGTATGTGGATCAAGTCTTTGCATTGAAACATGTATGTAAGTAGTTCATAATTTAGGAACTGGAGTTGGTTATATCCTTTGTGGATTTAGAAAAGGCACATAAAAAGAAGTGATGTGACTTTCGTCAGTGTATGAAATAAGCGATAAAAGTTTTTTTTTATGAGGAAAGCGAGGTTTAGGTTAGAGTAAGTAGGAAAGAAGTGAGTATTTTTAAGTAAAAGTAAGTCTTAGACATGGATGTGTTATGTCACAGAGGGGGTTGCAAATGGAATGTTTTAGTTTCTTAAGGAGAAGCTTGGGTTTTAAGTATAGTATCAGGAATTGTATACATGTAATTGTATATAAAGTGGCACTTGTCACAGTGGCTGCTTGAAAATGATTCGGTGTTATTGGAGAATGTGTATTAGTGTTGGTAGAATTGCTGACAATGTTATGTAAAAGGACACAAGTGCAACTAATTCAACATTTTATTGTGGCAACATTTCGCTCTCCAGAAGCTTTGTCAAGCTGTTACAAACAGTATAAGGATACAGAGGGTATATATAGTGGACCCTCAGATATCGGCCATTCTGGATATCGGTCAATTCGGATTTTGGCCGAAATTCTATCTTGGATTTCGGCCAGCAACTCGGAAATCGGCCGTATTGGTCCCATCCACCCGCCACTCTGCTGCGTTCGTGAGTCAGTCTGGCTGTGTCTCTGGGTGAGTGAGCAATACGCCCTGACCCTGTCGACCCTCTGCCTGTTGTGGAATGTGTTGTGGCTTTGGGGAAGCCCATGGGATTGGATGTGAGTGGCCAGGATGTGGAAGAGTTGGTGGAGGACCACAGGGAAGACCTAACCACTGAAGAGCTGCAAGACCTTCATCTGCAACAGCAACAGACCACAGCTGAGGTAATTGCTTCAGAGGAGGAGGAAGAGAGAGGGAAGAATGTGCCTTCTTCTGTGATTAAGGACATGTTTGCAAAGTGGAGTGAGTTGCAAAGTTTTATAGAGAAATATCACCCTGACCAAGCTCAAACAAGCCATATCTGCAACATGTTCAGTGACAAAACCTTGTCCCACTTCAGGCAAATCTTAGAGATGCCAGAAACAGACCTCTCTGGACAAGCTGGTCCAAGTGCCAGTAAAAGACAAAGAAGGAAAGTAACCCCAGATAGGGACTTGTTACATGAAGTACTTATGAAGGAGGATACCCCTTCCAAACAATAACCCCAACTCCCATTCCCCTCCTTGCCTTCAGTATGCCAGCAAGAGTCTGCCCCATATAAAGTGTATTGCTGGTACTGAACTCTTTCCACTGCTTGTCCTTTTCATTCATCAATGGCTTTGACACACCTAAAATAAACATGAAATAGTCATCTTTTTCTAGGTCTCTAGCCACTCTGCTGTTCCAGGCATTGAATTTGGAGACTCCTTTGACATTGTTGTAGGTCTGCATTTCTGATCAGTGAGCTATTTTATGTCTAGCTACACCTTGGCTTTTGGCTGCCCTCACATCATTGTTGTCAGTTATGGGTGACTTGTTTCTTGTGGTTCTATGATGGCCACATTGGACTTGTCTATTTCATCTTGTGGCAGAGCATCTTACCCAGTGAAAGGGCTGCCAAATCAAACTAAACTTGTTTATCAAAATGTACATCAATTTTTTTTCAGCCATATATTCAGTGCTGTGCCCATCTCCTTTTTAAAAGTTTTCTATCCATAATGCAGACACAGTTTATGGAATTTTGTAGTCAGGCAATTGCATTGATCTGGATTGATGTACTCTACAGTAATGTATTCTCCTGATTTTGTTTTCAAATTGTCCTCTGTATAATTTCTTCTGTTTTTTTTTTTTTTTTTTTTTCAAAGGTACCTCTCCCTCTGTTGTTGTTGTTATTATTATTATTATTATTATTATTATTATTATTATTATTATTATTATTATTATTATTATTATTATTATTATTATTATTATTATATTTTTTTTTTCTTTTAGCACACCCAATTAGTTTCTCAATTTTAAACAAAGATTTAAAAGGAATGTTTTGCTTATTCTCCATGGGGAAGTGAAACAGAATGCTTCCTGCGTAAGCCATGTGTGTTGTAAGAGGCGACTAAAATGCTGGGAGCAAGGGGCTAGTAACCCCTTCTCCTGTATACATTACCAGATTTAAAAAGAGAAACCTTCATTTTTCTTTTTAGGTCGCCCTGCTTTGGTGGGATACGGCCGGTTTATTGAAAGAAGAAGTTTTACTTATCTGTGTCGTGTTTAGGTCACATCATGTGTTGATGGCTCATCAGCATCATCAACATTATAGATATGTCTTGTGAGCCTTGTCTGCAGCACAGAAATAATGAAGTGGAATTTGATATCATCACTGCATTTTTTTTCTTCATCAAACCAGCCATATCCCACCAAGGCAGGGTGACCTAAAAAGAAAAAGGAAAGTTTTTCTTTTTTAACTTTAGTAATGTATACAGGAGAAGGGGTTACTAGCCCCTTGCTCCTGGCATTTTAGTCGCCTCTTACAACACGCATGGCTTACGGAGGAAGAATTCTGTTTCACTTTCCCATGGAGAATCATTACATTTGTATATGCAATAATGTGAATTAATTTGCTGTAGTGTCAGAAGTACAGTAGAACCCCTGTATCCACTGATTTGGTATCTGCAGTTTCTGTTATCCATGGTTTACTGTGGCCCAAAAATACCTCTTAATTTTTCCTAATAATGGTCCCAAAGTGCAAGAGTAGACAAGCTGGCAGTTCTTCAAATCCTAAGAGAAGCCGTGAAGTGCTTCCCATCAGTGAAAAAGTGATAATTCTCTACTTATTGTGCATAATTTATCAATTAAAGTTTATAATAGGTATGTATAGGACTTGTATATAGGGTTTGCTACCGTCCACGGTTTCGGTATCCATGGCAGGTCCTTCAAACGCATCCCCCACAGATATGGGGGTCCTGTTGTAGCTGTTGAATTTTTAAGAAATTTGGTAATGCCCAATGACTTTTAGGTTAAAAAACAGTGGCTTAGATTATCATTAACAAAATAAAATGAAAGATATGCTTTGTATCATTTTAACCCTTTCAGGGTCCAAGGCCCAAATCTGGAGTCACGCACCAGTGTCCAAGAATTTTCAAAAAAAAAATTTGTTATTTTTTCTTATGAAATCGTAGAGAATCTTTTTGTGAAGGTAATAAAACAAAAAGTACGAAATTTGGTGGAAAATTGACGAAATTATGCTCTCGCGAATTTTGATGTGTCAGCGATATTTACGAATCGGCGATTTTGCCGACTTTGACTCCCATTTTAGGCCAATTACATTATTCCAATCAAACCAAATTCTTAGCTATTTCACTAGTAAATTTCTTCTATTCTATCGATTGAGCAACAAGAAATCGCCAAGTCAACTGTTTCAACACAAAATAAATGGGTCGGAAAATTTTTAATTTGGGCCAATTTAACACAAAGTTCAAAATATTTTCCAATTTCAAAATAGGGTCCAGAATAAACAATTTTAGGCATTCTGGCACTAAACTAACATTTCCTCTGTTCATTAGTTTATGTTTTGAGGCTTTACAAATAAATTCCATTTTGATTTTTTATTCACATAATGAATTTTTATTCACACCAAAAAATAGAAGATTTACTGTTATGCAATACTGTAATAATTGTATAAATATCATCACCATATTTGTGAATGTATATTAGACCCACCAGCTGACGTGAAATTAGATGTGTGAGGTCGTTTGTTTACTCTTGAATATCGGCAAAAATTTAACATTTCCGCTACTTTGAGCTCAGTTTCAAGCCATTTCCAGTGCTAAAAACCAATCAAAATCATCTCTATTTCTGTAATATGTCTTCCATTCTATCAAATGAGACCAAGAAATCGCAAATACAACTATAAAAAACATACGAAAAAACACTGCAAAGTTGCTGTTTTAATCGAAAAATCATGATTTCAGTTTTTTTCTCTCATTATACACAGTGTGCTGCAGGATCTGTTTTATGTGGTGCACACATACCACACAGATGTATTCTCTCATATCTAGGCCCAAATGTACCACTCACAGTTTATCAGAGTGAGCTGAGCTCATGGCGTAGATCTACGGTTTGGACACCCACCGTAAAGCCGTAGATCTATGGGACGGACCCTGAAAGGGTTAAGGAGGTACAGTATTTATAGATGTTTTCTGAGAGGAAGCTTGCCATTAGTGAATGGAGGATTGAGCCTCCATTACTACTTGTGCTGAATAACCCACATAAGTTTAGCATATAATAATAATAATAATTATTCCATGGAAAAGTGAAGAAGAATCCTTCCTTCATAAGCCATGCATTTCATAAGAAATTAAAATGCCAGGAGCAAGGGGTTAGTAACCCCTTCTCCTGCATAAATTACTAAATGTGAAGGGTCACCCTGCCTTAGTGGGAAATGGCCGATGTGTTAAAAAAAAAATAATTTGTGTGTGCTCTGTTTGTAGTGAAAAATGTTAAATATATATAGTTAACAGTGTTAAGTATAATTATATTTTCTTTCCTGTACAGGTGCGTTGCCTTAAGGACTACGGTGAATTTGAGATTGAAGAGGGAGACATTGTTGTACTACAGAAGAATACAACCCATTACCTTCCCATGTCTCACTGTCAGCATCTTATTCGGCAAGGCATCCTTGAACATGTTGAATGAGATTGTTTTCTAAATACAATAAGAGGTCATGCCTTCACTAATAAACCACATTGTTTTTAGATATAAGGGTAGGAGACCAGTATATGTATTGTATTGTATGCAGTATATGTATTGAATAATTATTCAATGCACTGCACTTCTCTTCCTGCTTTTTATTTTCTCATCACTTTCATGTTTGCTCTAGTGAAGTTGTCCTAATCTTACTTAGACACTCTAAGTTCTCTGATTAGCAAATAACCACTGTTTCTTATATGTGACAGCCATATCAACATGAGATATATCTATTATACATGTTTTAGATTCTTTAAAATGTATGGGGGAGAATATTCTACATGAGATTGCCATGTAAAAGAGATGTGCTTAAGAAATATGACAGAGACAAATGTATTTTAGATATAAAGTTAGTGAAGGGGCATTGACTGCCTATATTTTCAATATTTTTGGTTAGATACTAAGAGTTTATCTTTTTATACCGAATTTTTGATATATTGATATTAAATTCTGCTTTGAAAAGGAGTACACTATTATTGTCCTTCACTTTGGATTTGTCTTTTCTAATAAAAGTTTTGAAGAAGCTGCAGGACAACTCAGTACATGGAATGATGCTGCTGAAACAACACACTGAGCTAGATAGTCTTATTGTATGAATTCAGGTTGCCGAGTGATCCATAGTGGACTTAGCACTTGTTTTGTGAATATAATAAAACTGAATCAAAACTTATTTTTATATAGATGTGGTTCATTTTTGTAAGTAGTGTAATAATTTTTTTAACACACTGGCCATCTTCCACTGAGGCAGGGTGACCTGAAAAAGAAACACTTTAACCCTTAAACAGTCCAAACAGATCGATGTTCAAATTCCTAGTGCTACAAAAGTAGATCTACTTTTTTTTTACATATTTTCAAATATAAAAAAAAAAAAAATGTAGATAAAAGTTTTTTTACACATTTTCAAATGTAAAACAAAAAAGAAGATCTACATTTCTTTACATACTTTCAGATGTTGAAAAAACGTATATATACGTTTGGATCGTTTAAGGGTTAACCATCATTTACACTATCACTGTCCTGTTAGAGGCATGCAGATACGACAGTTTAGATGCCCCTCTAAACAGCAGATATCCCAAACCCCTCCTTTAGAGTGCAGGCACTGTACTTTCCACCTCCAGGACTTAAGTTCAGCTAAAGTTAACAAGAGAAACTTTTGTTTTTCTTTTTGGGCCACACTGCTTCAGTGGGATACAGCCGGTTTGTTGAAAGATGATGATGATGTCAAGATAACACCTGTGAAAGGATTCAGTTAAACTAATTAGCCAGACTTGATTTCTAGAGATGGAAAGCACAGTGGAAGGGTGAGGATGTTGTGGTTTGATATATCGTTTGAATTGTGAAGCTCGTTTACTTCTGAAATGAGAGCTAGAAAATGAATGATGGTGAATGTGTTTGTCTTTAGCTCACCCTACATTTATGGGCAGCAGCTACTTTGTTAAAAATAGAAATAGTGATAAATTTTATTCAACGAAGAGAACATTATTATGAATTTATGAATACGTATTACCATTACCAGTAGATGGAAATACCTTTGTTGAAGCCCGTTATTTACAGCTCTTTGGGTACAACATATGCTTATACAGGATTGGCAAATAAAACACATAGGCAACACCTTGGTATCCCTATTAAGATACGTCTCATCCGCCAGAGGTTTTATCATTCTAACACAGGGACATGAGAGAGGAGACTTTTATAGGAACCAGGAAGATAGTGGTGCAAAATGCTAGTGATTGTCATACAAGCATGGATAGAGCTTGCTTGTGGTGATGCAGCTTAGTTTGATGTCCATGGAGGTAGTATTCAGGCTTGATGTCTAGTGGAGGAGTAGTACTGATGATCATATAAACTGGGGCAGGGCTTGCTAGTGGAGATGTAATTTATTTAATAGATTTTTATTGGCATTCATATATATTGAAACTGTTTTGTACTGTGATGTTTGAGATGCAACAAATATTGTTGCATCTCAAACATCTTTGCTTCTGGTATTAGTCTTCAGTGATTATTTTGGTGCCATTTCAATTCATAATATATCAGAGCTAGAAATATGTAGTAGGTTGGTAGACAGCAACCACCCAGGGAAGTACTACCGTCCTGCCAGATGACTGTGAAACAGAAACCTGTAACTGTTTTGCATGATGGTAGGATTGCTGGTTTCTTTTTCTGTCTCATAAACACACTAGATAACAGGGATATCTTGCTACTCCTACTTACACTTTGGTCACACTTCACAGACACGCACATGCATATATATATACATACATCTAGGTTTTTCTCCTTTTTCTAAATAGCTCTTGTTCTTCTTTATTTCTTCTATTGTCCATGGGGAAGTGGAAAAGAATCTTTTCTCCGTAAGCCATGCGTGTCGTATGAGGCGACTAAAATGCCGGAAGCAATGGGCTAGTAACCCCTTCTCCTGTAGACATTTACTGAAAAAAGAGAAGAAGAAAAACTTCATAAAACTGGGATGCTTGAATGTGCGTGGATGTAGTGCGGATGACAAGAAACAGATGATTGCTGATGTTATGAATGAAAAGAAGTTGGATGTCCTGGCCCTAAGCGAAACAAAGCTGAAGGGGGTAGGGGAGTTTCGGTGGGGGGAAATAAATGGGATTAAATCTGGAGTATCTGAGAGAGTTAGAGCAAAGGAAGGGGTAGCAGTAATGTTGAAGCATCAGTTATGGAAGGAGAAAAGAGAATATGAATGTGTAATTTCAAGAATTATGTGGATTAAAGCAAAGGTTGGATGCGAAAAGTAGGTCATAATAAGCGTGTATGCACCTGGAGAAGAGAGAAATGTAGAGGAGAGAGAGAGAGATTTTGGGAGATGTTAAGTGAATGTATAGGAGCCTTTGAACCAAGTGAGAGAGTAATTGTGGTAAGGGACCTGAATGCTAAAGTAGGAGTAACTTTTTGAGAGGGTGTGGTAGGTAAGTTTGGGGTGCCAGGTGTAAATGATAATGGGAGCCCTTTGATTGAACTTTGTATAGAAAGGGGTTTAGTTATAGGTAATACATATTTTAAGAAAAAGAGGATAAATAAGTATACAAGATATGATGTAGGGCAAAATGACAGTAGTTTGTTGATTATGTATTGGTAGAAAAAGACTGTTGAGTAGACTTCAGGATGTACATGTTTATAGAGGGGCCACAGATATATCAGATCACTTTCTAGTTGTAGCTACACTGAGAGTAAAAGGTAGATGGGATACAAGGAGAATAGAAGCATCAGGGAAGAGAGAGGTGAAGGTTTATAAACTAAAAGAGGAGGCAGTTAAGGTAAGATATAAACAGCTATTGGAGGATAGATGGGCTAATGAGAGCATAGGCAATGGGGTCGAAGAGGTATGGGGTAGGCTTAAAAATGTAGTGTTAGAGTGTTCAGCAGAAGTTTGTGGTTACAGGAAAGTGGGTGCAGGAGGGAAGAGGAGCGATTGGTGGAATGATGATGTAAAGAGAGTAGTAAGGGAGAAAAAGTTAGCATACGAGAAGTTTTTGCAAAGTAGAAGTGATGCAAGGAGGGAAGAGTATATGGAGAAAAAGAGAGAGGTTAAGAGAGTGGTGAAGCAATGTAAAAAGAGAGCAAATGAGAGAGTGGGTGAGATGTTATCAACAAATTTTTTTGAAAATAAGAAAAAGTTTTGGAGTGAGATTAACAAGTTAAGGAAGCCTAGAGAACAAATGGATTTGTCAGTTAAAAATAGGAGAGGAGAGTTATTAAATGGAGAGTTAGAGGTATTGGGAAGATGGAGGGAATATTTTGAGGAATTGTTAAATGTTGATGAAGATAGGAAGCTGTGATTTCGTGTATAGGGCAAGGAGGAATAACATCTTGTAGGAGTGAGGAAGAGCCAGTTGTGAGTGTGGGGAAAGTTCGTGAGGCAGTAGGTAAAATGAAAGGGGGTAAGGCAGTTGGGATTGATGGGATAAAGATAGAAATGTTAAAAGCAGGTGGGTATAGTTTTGGAGTGGTTGGTGCAATTATTTAATAAATGTATGGAAGAGGGTAAGGTACCTAGGGATTGGCAGAGATCATGCATAGTTCCTTTGTATAAAGGCAAAGGGGACAAAAGAGAGTGCAAAAATTATAGGGGGATAAGTCTGTTGAGTATACCTGGTAAAGTGTATGGTAGAATTATTATTGAAAGAATTAAGATAAGACGGAGAATAGGATAGCAGATGAACAAGGAGGCTTTAGGAAAGGTAGGGGGTGTGTGGACCAGGTGTTTACAGTGAAACATATAAGTGAACAGTATTTAGATAAGGCTAAAGAGGTCTTTGTGTCATTTATGGATTTGGAAAAGGCGTATGACAGGGTGGATAGGGGGGCAATGTGGCAGATGTTGCAGGTGTATGGTGTAGGAGGTAGGTTACTGAAAGAAGTAAAGAGTTTTTACGAGGATAGTGAGGCTCAAGTTAGAGTATGTAGGAATGAGGGAAATTATTTCCCAGTAAAAGTAGGCCTTAAACAAGGATGTGTGATGTCACCGTGGTTGTTTAATATATTTATAGATGGGGTTGTAAGAGAAGTAAATGCGAGGGTCTTAGCAAGAGGCGTGGAGTTAAAAGATAAAGAATCACACATAAAGTGGGAGTTGTCACAGTTGCTCTTTGCTGATGACACTGTGCTCTTGGGAGATTCTGAAGAGAAGTTGCAGAGATTGGTGGATGAATTTGGTAGGGTGTGCAAAAGAAGAAATTTTAAAGTGAATACAGGAAAGAGTAAGGTTATGAGGATAACAAAAAGATTGGATATCAGATTGGAGGGAGAGAGTATGGAGGAGGTGAATGTATTCAGATATTTGGGAGTGGACGTGTCAGCAGATGAGTCTGTGAAAGATGAGGTGAATCATAGAATTGATGAGGGGAAAAGGGTGAGTGGTGCACTTAGGAATCTGTGGAGACAAAGAACTTTGTCCTTGGAGGCAAAGAGGGGAATGTATGAGAGTATAGTTTTACCAACGCTCTTATATGGGTGTGAAGCATGGGTAATGAATGTTGCAGTGAGGAGAAGGCTGGAGGCAGTGGAGATGTCATGTCTGAGGGCAATGTGCGGTGTGAATATAATGCAGAGAATTTGTAGTTTGGAAGTTAGGAGGAGGTGCGGGATTACCAAAACTGTTGTCCAGAGGCTGAGGAAGGGTTGTTGAGTGGTTCGGACATGTAGAGAGAATGGAGCGAAACAGAGTGACTTCAAGAGTGTATCAGTCTGTAGTGGAAGGAAAGCGGGGTAGGGGTCGGCCTAGGAAAGGTTGGAGGGAGGGGGTAAAGGAGGTTTTGTGTGCGAGGGGCTTGGACTTCCAGCAGGCGTGCGTGAGCGTGTTTGATAGGAGTGAATGGAGACGAATGGTTTTTAATACTTGACGTGCTGTTGGAGTGTGAGCAAAGTAACATTTATGAAGGGGTTCAGGGAAACCGGCAGGCCGGACTTGAGTCCTGGAGATGGGAAGTACAGTGCCTGCACTCTGA